TGGATCAAGACGCTTTTCTACCTTTTTCCTGGGGCTACAGTTTATATCCAGATAGAATAATACATAAAGCTTTTGCTAGAAAGGAAAAAATAGATTATTTTTGAATAATATGCTAGAGTTCTATGAAAATTGATAGACAATATTAGCAAGAGAAAGATTAGTTTCTCCAGTAGCTATTTCACTCTGGGATTAGGTATGAAAAAAACATTTTTCCTTCATTCCCTCTTCCCCTAGGTGGGACCTGAATGGACCATCCTGCCCCTGCTAGCACTAAAAGGGTAAGGGTTTGAGTAACCGTACACCCATAATGCCTGCTGGCCTCCACTCCCAAACCAACAGTAAATCACCATAAGTGAAATAAAAGAAACAAAACAAAACAAAACACCCTGCTCATTAACAAAATCCTTGTTTTATAAATGAAGCTTTAATCTATCTCCTAGCCTCCACTTCCCAGCTTTCCCTATTTAAGAGATTACTACTCCTAAATACTCTCTATGTAGAAATTCTAAAACAGCCTCATCTTCGCCAGTTCCGTGGGATGCCTTACTGGCAGCCTGGGACAGCAGCTGTGACAAAAAAAAAAATTGCTCTGTGCTAGGCAAAGAAGTGCTCAGTCTGAGAGTACTATATAGGAAACAGGTGGGGAGATGAGATACGAAAGGAACCTTATTAGGGGGTTGGGCACATTGATAGCCTTGACTCAAGCCATGTATCAAAAACATTTGTACCCCCTTCGTATTTCAATATATATATATATTATATATATTATATATATATTTAAAAAAGGAACTTCTCTTACGTTTGCTGAGGTGGGCTCTGTGTGAACAAAGGGATGACTGGGCCAAAAAAATGAAAGAACTATTTTGCATGTCCCTCAAAATTCTGTGTACATTTAGTCATTTAATGTCAAGAATTTTTTAATAATGGACATACCCACCTCACTTTTCCAAATGGCAACATCAGGGCTAAGGGATCACGTCGTCTTAGGGTATAAAATAGTAAAGAACGGTTGCTAAACTTGGCAAAACGTGACTTAGATGTTTGACACTAAGTTACAGGGAAGGAAAAGCGACCTTATACTTCTGAGACCTTGAGTTAGTCCATGATTTGATTTAGTGACCTTCCACTTCTTCAGATGTAAAGTATGGGTTTTGGATGAGATGACTCCTGTGTCCCTCCATCTTCTTAGAATTTTCTGTACCGGGATTTGAATTTCAGCTGAAATGTATCTGCCACTTGCTAGTTGTATAATCTTGAGCGATTATTTACACCTTGGCCTCAAGGTGTTCAAACTTGTGAACTGAGATACAAACAGCTTTCTTTCAGTTAAATGAAATGATATATGGCACAGTCCCAGAGAGCACAGTAGGGACTCGCTTATGATGGTTACTATTAGTATTGTGGTCTGTGATTACCATATATTTTAATTTTAACTTGTAGGTTTTCATAAGCTAAAGTCATACCAAGATTTTCTCTAAAGTTGTGTGATTTCTCTACTTATTCTTAGTCATATTCTTTAGTGTAATTAATAATGATGTAAGATTTTTAGAATATTAATTTTATGCATTTTCATTAGAGTCCATCATTTTTCTGAATGTCCATGGACCTTTATTCTTTATCAGTGACTTGAATTTGATGCTAAAATTTGAAGTACATTAAAATATTTGGCTAGTTTTGTGGTAAGTAAAGAAGTCATAAAAATAAGTAAATGGCATAAGTAAATGGCATAAGTAAATGGCATGTTTATCTATATGGATAAGTATAATGATCATTTTTGTGGCACCACAGATATCATTTGTTGTTGTTTAGGGGGCCACATTCGTGCTAATCTCTGAGGATCCTAGGTGCTGATTTGAGCCAGTCTCACAGGTTCCTGAGCTCACACAAGAAACTATTTTACCTTGGGAAATATTTATTAAATAAATAAAGTATAGTTACCTATGGGTAGAGAGGAAATGGGAAAAAGTAGACATCAACTGGTGTAGGAAGGACTCCAAGATATGGCAACATTAATACTAGGGAAATGGAAATTTTGATCACCTGGGGTTTGTTGGAATTACTTTTAGAATTTAATCAAGAGCCTCTATCAGAAACTGTTTGAAATCCAGTGGCTTTTTTAAAATGTAAAAATTATTTTCCTAATTATATAATTAACTTAGGATGGAGCAATCATAACTCACTCCTCATGTTTCTCCAAAGCCAATATCTAAAATGCAAGCATTTCAAAAGACTTGAAATGAAGATTGTACTTTTCTTAAAACATGTATGTTTTCTTTGGTTGTCATGATTACCTAAATGGTTTTTGAATTAGTTATTGCTATGGTCTCAATGTTTGTGTCTCCCCTACACCAAATTCATATGTTGAAATCTCATTAGTAATCTGATGGTATTAGGAGGTAGGGCCTTTGGGAGGTAGTTTGGTCATGGGGTAGAACCTTCATGAATGGAATTAGTGTCCTATAAAAGAGACCCTTGACAAGTCCTTTGCCCCTTTTACTATGTGGGAACACAGAGAGAAGATACCATCTTTGAACCAGGAAGTGGGCCCTGACACCAAATCTGCTGGTGTCTTGATTATGGACTTCCCAGCCTCCAGAACTGTAAGGAATAAATTTCTGTTGTTTATAAGTCACCCAGTTTATGGTATTTTGTTATAGTAGCCCAAATGGACTAAAAAAATTATAACAGTTACAATATTTAAAAATTGAGAGATTTAAAATAATACACAGGCTTCTGTCTTCTCTTTAATAAGCATCCTCATGGCCACTCTTTGTTGGAGCCAAGCCATGGCAGCCCTGTGGACAGCATCCATGGTCTGAGAACATGGTGGCTGTTGTTTCTGCCACTCCCTAGTGGTTTTTAGTTGCCCTTGCTCTGTTTTCTGTTCTACAACTGGGACATTTCATTTTATTCATCTGTATTACCCACTCAGTTTCTGTGAGCATTTGTGTTTGCATCATGGCCGAAAATGGCTTATCTATTTTTTATGTTCATTTTTTGAAGATTCATGCGTGCTTAATTTGTTTATGTCTTTTCATTTAAATAATATCGGGTGAAGTTTCCTCTTCATTGATACATGCCTTTTAAAGAGGAGAAGCTGATTTTAGCAAAAGAACTAATAATCACATAAATTTGGATAAACACCCTTTGGTCATTACTATTAGCTTCTGTAAACCATTCCTAATAGATACATATAGCTTCATCAAAGCATATTTAACTGACTCAAACTTTGGGGTGCTTTTCTATAAGATGTTCTGTATTGGCTTAAAGACCTTGGAACAAGAATTTTATTTGTTAGCACACCCACACATCCATCTTCCTAGCTGAGATGACTAACATAGCTGATGAACATGTTTTAGATGACAAGGCAAAGAAAGAACATTTAGGGCATAGATTCTAGTGTGAATAGAGTTTTGGTGTATCAACTAATAAAGTCATAGATATGTACCCAATAGCTATTGTGTATCCAGGCCTGCGAGTTATGCACTTAATATCATGGTATAATAAAAAGGGGGTATGTTATCCTTTAATTATAAGAGGAAGAGAAATAAATTGATTGTTTGATTTTTTTAACCAGAAATTCTGAATTACCCAATGACAAAGGTAACGATTCCCACGAGATATTTTTATTTCTAAAATCAGATTTAGTTTTCACTTGTTAATAGTTTTAGACCTTCTATAGTACTTTACCTTCAGTGAGGGTATAGTTTTTAATTTGCAAAAAAATAATTTCTATTAGTTTTGTAGTAAAGAAGAGCTGTCTTCTTATTTTTCTACTTTACGAATGAAGAAACCAAAGTAAACTTCTTCGAAAGCCAATTTATTGGCTTAGTCAGTTATGACACATAGGGGTATGAGCAGAGAGTTTGTGCTTCAGAGAGAAAAACAAAACCATAATAAAACCTAAGTGTCACCTCCATCAGATGACACTTTCTTGCTTTATGTTATTCCATATTGGTCTATTTATTCTTTAAAATGTCATCTATAACTGCTACAAGGGAACTAATCTATTTTAACTGGTCTCTTAGGTGGTCATTTTAATCTTAGGTTCATGTTACTCTTTTTTATCCCTCTATTCATTTTACCTCTGAATTTATAGTTATCAGATTTATAAAAATGACCCAGAGGCTTGGTTATTACAGCTGAAACCATGGGGCTTGGTACTGAGTTCATCGTCAGCTCTTTCTCTATAAATATTTCCTTTCCATTTCTGATCTTAAATAAATTTAGTTATAAATATTAAATATTAAAAAATTCCTTTGGCTATAGGCAACATTAAAGGTAAGGTAGCTGGTTCTTCACATATAACCTAAGCACTTTTATATGTAGAAATATTTCTAGTGATGAATTTCTTTACCCTTTACTACCTCAAAGAAAAACAAACATAAAAGGGGGGCCTAGGCAGAGAATAGTTTAAGAAAAACAAGTAGAAAACAGAAGACCAGGGAGGTAATTAATATGGATCTCTGTTATTTCCCCAACATTCTAATTTCAGGTTTCTTTTAAATAAGGATAGATTCATTCCTTCATCTTGCTCTTACTTTAATTATTTTTCTGTGCCTCATTCTGACTGCAGTGATGCCATTGGTGTCTAAGGTTTTTGGACCCAACATTATCTTGGCCTTAGAAGAGAGAGGAAACATTACAGTCGATTATAGCCTCCCTGACATATACAATCATCACCCCTACACAAGGTGTTTGATTTAACACTTCATAAAAAATGAAGAAGCAAGAACAAGACTCTAGCATTTTATTTGGTAAAACATTATGCCTTCATACATTTATAATCACACTTGACAATGTGCATCTTAAAGGGAAAAGATTTGGAAGAGGATATCTAAGTAGAAAAAATTCTTTAAGTAATTAGGTACCTTGTTCTTAAGGACGGTACAGACAATTCATCGTGGACATCCACAAAATAGTTAAGAAGCACCTAGAAAAATTATCAGGGTTTCATGTGGTCTAAATAGTAATCAACAATCATAAATATGCGGACACTCACCAGCACATGGAGGGCGCTGGGCTCCAGCATGTTCTCTTCACTCAGTCCAGTTCCTCCACTATTCTGTAGTCACTCTGGAGAACAGATTTAGGTAAATTCAGCAGAGATTTGGTTTATGCTAGAAGAGGGCACAATTCTGTACAATTTTATGGTATTGGTATTGTCTATACTATTTCTTGTTTTACACATTCCAAATTATCCGAAAACTTGACGTAGTTGTTACCTAAAAAGGATAGTGTTTCTGCATTTTGCAGTCTCAATGAGGAAATGTTCCCAGTGCTCGGAGTCACTATGTTGCATGAGCCTAGGGGGGCTCCATTCACATGTTGTTCCCCTGACATGGACTAGAGCAGAGTTTCCCCGTCTGTTAACATCTGTAGGGAGAAGTTAATCTTGGGGAATGATGAAGCACTTATGATGAACCCTCAAGGAATCTTTTAATAGGGACTCTTTGGAGATTATTCTCCTCAAAGAAACAAAATATCACAGCTGCTGAAAATGAAACACTGAACAGAGTCGTAACTAAGTAGTCAGAGGTCCTCACTGTTGTCAAGAATTAGGACATTGTTAATGCAAAAAAAAAAAAAAAAAACCATAACCCTACATAGGAAGAGTGCTTGTAATTTAAATATTTATTAATTGAGATTTTATTTAATGAAACATAAGGAAACCTCAGTAAAGTCTTAATATATTACTACTTATATGTGTAAAACATTATATAGGCTACACATAAAGTTTATTTCATGGCTGACACGATTTTCTCCATGGTTTTCTAAAGGCCCAGGATCCACAGGATGGGAACTGCTGAGATAAAATGTCAAATTACATCAGAGGGCCCTTCACAGGCAGAATTGTGTTTCATTTATTTTCATTGCAAAGAAAATATCCATGTTATTATTTAACAAATTAAGAAAGCAGATGAAGCAGAACATATTGAAATTTTGCCTGCAGATGCACCAGATCTGATCAAAGAATAAAAGCCATTTAAAAAAATGAACAATAAAAATGTATGTCACATGAATCTCATGCTGAAGGATGCAGTTCATGCAATGCTTGCACAAGGGGAGCAGTAACTAGTAGTTGTGTAAAATAGAAATTACTAGAATCACTAGATTTAACAAAAATTTTATTGTGGTATTTTTTTAAGCAAAAGTGGAAGGTAAATGCCACAATAAACTGCCATGCACTGTTATGCAGCTTCAACATTATCAACATTTTGCAATCTTGTTTCATTTACCTTCCACATTTTCTAAATATTTAAAAAACAAATCACAGAAACCATAAATTGTTCAGAATTTCATATAGATATGAAATATATATATATAATTATTTCAAAATATTATACAGGTACAAATGTTTTTGATTCCATGGATCATTTTGTTATGCTTCAGTCAGTGATATAAGTGTATCCATCACAAAATGCAAATGGTGTTTATTATACCTGATAGGTAGATTTTCACCCCTCCCTTCTAACACCTTCCCTCATGCTTGATTTCCACTGAGTTGTACTCCCACCTGTGCACATGTGTGCTCATCAGTTAGTTCAGATTTAATAGTGAGTATGCGTGGTGTTTGTTTCTCCATTCTGGAGATACTTCACTTAGGATAATGGTCTCTAATTCTATTGAAATTGTTCCAAAATGGCTTAATTCACACTTCCTCATGGTTGCATAGTATTCCATAGTATACATATGCCCCATTTTGTTAATCTATTCATGAATTGATGGGCACTTAGGTTGATTCCACATCTTTGCAATTGTGAATTGTGCTGCAATAAACATTCAAGTGCAGGTGTCTTTTTGATAAAATGACCTCTTTTCCTTTGGGTAGATACCCGGTAGTGGGATTTCTGGATCAAGTGGTAGATCTACTTTTAGTATCTTGGAAAGTCTCCATACTGATTCCCATAGAGGTTATACTAATTCACAGTCCCACCAATAGCATATAAACATTCCTTACTTTCTGCATCCATACCAGCATCAATTGTTTTTGGACTTTTTAATAAAAGCCAGTCTAATTGGGGTAAGATAATATATCATTGTGGTTTTAATTTGCATTTCCCTGACAATTAGTGTCTTTGAGCATTTTTTCATATGTTTATTGGCCATTTGTCTATTTTATTTTGAAAAGCTTCTGTTTATGTCTTTTGCCCACTTTTTAACAGCATTGTTTGTTTTTTTTCGTGCTGTTTCACTTGAGTTCTTTTTATATTCTGGTTATTAACCCTTTATCAGCTGTGTAGCTTGCAAATATTTTCTACCATTCTGTCTGTTGAATATTTCCTTAGCTGTGCAGAAGCTTTTTAATTAAGCTCCATTTATTTATTTTTGGTGTGTTGTTATGATTGCCATTGGGTCTTCTTCATAAATTCTTTGCCTAAGCTGATATCTAAAAGGGTTTTTCCAAATTTTCTTCTAGCATTCTTATGGTTTCATGCCTTACATTTAAGTGTTTTATCAATCTTGAATTAATTTTTGTAAGTGGTGAGAGATATGGAGGTTGTTTCTTTCTTCTGCATGTGGCTATCCAATTTTTCCAGTCCCATTTATTGAATAGGCCTTCTTTTCCTCAATGTTCATTGTTGTCTGCTTTATCAAAGATCAGTTAGTTGTAGGCAGATGTTTTTAGATTTGAGTTCTCTGTTCTGTTTCACTGGTCTATGTGTCTATTTTTGTGCCAAGCCATGCTGTTTTGGTTATTATCGCCTTATAGTATAGTACGAAGTCTGGTAATGTGATGCCTCCAGATTTGTTCTTTTGTTTAAGAATACTCTGACTACTCAGGCTCATTTTGAATATTCCAAGAACTGAAATCACATATTTTTCCAAAGAGCCTTTTTTTCTTTTAGTAGAAAATGACAATTTGATTCCAAAATGAGGATTCTATGGTTGTCCACTGTCATTGAATTATCATTACTTTTATTTTTATTATCTATTTATTTATTTTTAAGTTGTGGGTTTTTTGTTTGCTTCTGTAGCATTATTGTTTTTCAATATAGAAAATTAACTGATATAATCCATAAAATAAAATTAATATAGATAAGATTGTATTTCATACCAAAAATATATCTTTCTTTCAAGTTTTCATACAACATTTATAAAAATTGATCATAGATCAGAACAAAGAGAAAAATCATCTTTATATATAGAGAGAAAATATTTCATGAGTTTATAGGATATTAGATATTTAAATGAACCTGGCATATCTTATGCCAGAAAAAAAAGGGAAATTTGAAAGACTATTAGAGGAGTATAAAAAAAGATACAAGAGGGAACAAGCTCTGATTGCTCAAAAATGGAGAGATTTGAGTCCCGGGAAGACTAACATTTGCAAATAATTATAATATACAATTTTAAAAGACAGAAATTATACAGTCAGCATTTCAAATAAATGGTTAACAAACTCCTAAAATATTTCTTTTTTCAGAATATTATGAGGATAAAAATGTTTAGGTTATATATATATTGTTTTTGTACTTCCTGAGTCAGAGCTACAAGCGTATCCATCCTCCAGATAGTGCTCGCTGCACTCATTAGGTGTGTATATACCTATCCCCTCCTTCCTCTTCCCACCTGCCCAATACCAGATGAATGTTACTTCCATTTGTGTACATAAGTGTTGATAAATTAGTACCAATTTGATCATGAGTACATGTGGTGCTTGTTTTTCCATTCTTGTGATACTTCATTTAGTAGAATGGGCTCCAGCACCATCCAGGATAATAGAAGAGGTTTTGAATTCACCATTTTTTTTAATGGCTGTGTAGAACTCCATGGCATACATATGCCACATTTTATTAATCCACTCATGTGTTGATGGGCACTTGGGTTGTTTCCACATCTTTGCAACTGTGAATCATCCTGTTATAAACTTTTAGACCTATTGAGAAATCAAACTTTAAAATTCATACATCTTTATATAAGGAAACTATTTCATGAATTTATAGGATATTGGATATTTAAATTTCAGATTTTAGGGTACTTACTTGAGTTTTTAAATTTATATTCAGATCTTTTCCCTTTAATCTGAAAATCTTGATTACCAGTGGTGTTAACATGATTATGTGTTTTTTTTTGTCTTATGATATCCTCATAATAGCTTCAAAATAGCAATGCCAGCATTTCCACTAATAATAAAACCACTGAGTAAAATTTAATATATCTTCCTTTCTTTATAATTTTTTGTTGTTAGGATATATCCCACAAGGACTTTATAATGAAAATATTGGTTTTAAATCCTTCAGCATAATTATTTTTTATGTAGTTATGCCACCAACTTAATATACAGTTAGATTAACTTCAATTACATTTCAGAATATAAGGATGTTTTTCGTTTATCTTTACTTTTATTTATTTAATATGTAAACCATTCACAAGGTTCCAAAGCCAAAACTCAAAACAGGAGTCTAACTTCTCTGTCCCTGCCTCCTCTTATAGGTAACATATTTGTTAGTTTTTTATCTTTTTGTTTTTTCTAATACATATGTACATATTTATAAATATATGTACATATGTTCATGTGCATATATGTGAGCATATATAAATACCTACATATGAAAGTGCATTTGTGCTCATATATACACATGCACTATCTTCTTTTTTTAACATAAATAGTAATATATTACAAAAATTTTGATGCCTTTTTTTTTAATCTAACAGTTTATCCTGGTGATCACTATCAAACAGTACAGTGAGGTTGTCCTTATTCATTTTTATAGCTTCAGAATATTTCATTCATTTTTTTTCAAACAGTTCTCTAATTATAAACTGGTTTTTCCCGGTATTTTCTTATTACAAATATTGTTATAATGAACAATCTTTGTATATGCATTTTATACTCTTGCTAGTATATTTTAGGGAAAGTTCCTGTTAGTGGGATTGCTGAGATAAAGGATAATTGTATATGTAATTTTGCTAGATATCAAATTCCCTTGGGTCATATCATTTTATATTCCCACCAGCAGGGAATGAGAGTAACTGATTTCCCACAGGCCAACTGTGGGCTATGCTGTCAAATTTTTAGATGTTTGATGGTTGGTAAGTGAGAAATGGTATCTGAGAATAGGTTTAATTTG